CGATGGACGGGAAGCTCGAAGCCGAAGGTACAACACCGGCGGGACCGATGGACGAGAAGCTGGAACTCGGACCGCATCCTGCACCCGATCCTGAAATCTGAGAAGGGGGAGGGGGGTTTTGCGCAAAAAGGCCAGTACCAACACCAGGCGGAGACGCTTGGCGGACAACGGGGGGAGGGACAACGGTAGAGGGGATTACATCACCGTCGCGGTACGAGGAGACAAGCGGGTGGCCGATAGAGAGCATCCCGATATCCGAGTATGCGAAACTAAGCCGACCACCGAAAAGGTGCACACCCCTCTCATCCAACATTATCCTGTGCTTTTTCTGCGTGTGGTGCAGAGAGAACAAGTTGAACGAAATCCCTGGTACTACGTACACTTCTGTCAATTGGACACAGAAATCCGCTTCTCCCGATCGACCTCCTGCCATGTGAAATGCCAGATTGACACTACCTACGCACTCCACGCGCAAATAAGCACCATTGCCTACTTTGATGAATTCTTTGCCGGGGGGGACAGGCGAGACGTTGTACATCTTGGAGCTGTTACTCACAAAATGGTTGCTTGCACCGCTATCAGACCAAAATACCTCCCTACCAGGACTGTATTCGCAACTCTGTGCAGACAAAGCAAAGCCAAGATCATCACCACATGCGACACTGCTTACATCACTCGAAACCGAAAGCGAACTCATCTCGTCAGCGGACACAAAGTGTGCCATCAGGGAGTGGAGATGCCCAGGCGGATAGGTTGCTGCTCCGGGAGAGGGCGACTGGGGCGGGGCATGGGTGGAGTGCTGCTGCTGCTGCTGCTGCTGCTGCGGCTGAAACGACGGCGGTGGCGGAGGCTGCGATGGTGGCTGCTGCTGCTGGTAGTACGGTGTCGGAGGCGGGTAGTACGGCTGCTGCTGGTAGTAGTCTGGCGAAGGCTGCTGCTGCTGCTGCTGCTGCTCCCACCCGCCATACTCGGTACCATTCGCGGGCCCCCCGTAGGGCATAGCACTATACGCGTGCATCACATTAGCGTGCCCGTACGGAGGCCGCCAAGGCGGTTGTGGAGGACGAGGGGGCGCTGCATACCTGTGCTGATGCTGTCCTCCGTAGCCGCTGTGAGGTCCGTGCTGAGGCCCACCGCCCCAGCCCCCCCCACTGTAGCTCGGCTGCTGCGGCGGCGGTCCGTGAAGTTGCTGTTGCTGAGACTGCTGTTGCTGAGGCTGCTGTTGCTGAGACTGCTGCTGTTGGGGTTGCTGTTGCTGAGACTGCTGCTGTTGGGGCTGCTGCTGCTCCTGCTCCTTCCGACGGTCGCGCTGGGTGTAGCACTGGGCGTTGGTGTGGAACAAGCGCGGATGTAGGTAGCAGTGGTCGTTGTCGGCTCCTCTCTCACCTCCGCCTTTCTTGTTTCCTCTCACCCTGCTCCTGCTCCGACTCCGGGCGCCTCCGTCTCCGTCCTGACCCCCGCCGTTTCCACACGACCCATTTTGGACACGTCCATCGCCCCGGATGCCACCGGAAGCGACGAACGCGTGCCCCGCGCCATTCTTCGGTTCCCCCTCCCGACGGCGAACCGAGTCCGCATGAGCATCTCGCACAGCCTTTTCAATTGTTTCGCGCGAGGGGGGAATTGGTGACATGGTCAGAATCTTCTTCTCTACCGAGTACTCGTCGGAAAGGTGGTATACCATGTGGGCATTGGCATCATCGTCGGAGAAAACAACACCGTGCGAGGCGAGCCTACTGCGCAAAACAGCAAATCTCCCGAAGTACTCTTGCGGGGTCTCCCCTACTTTCATCTCAAGAGCGTGATATTGAGATGACAGCCTTTCTTTTTCGGCCCTGGCAAGCGGCTCGTAATAATTGAGGAATATCTTCCAACCTCCACTAGGGCTCCCATCGGCGATGATCTGGGTTAGGATTGGCATGTATGTCACTGTCGTGATCAGCAGGTTCCACGCCGTTATTGCCTTTTCTACCCGTCCACTCGAATGCACCCTACGCATCTCCTCCATGCTCACGCCTTCTTTCCCAACTGGAATTTTTTCTTCTGTCAGTACTACGTCACGCACTCCTTCCTGGGCAAACATAGCTACCATGTTCGATCGAAAAATCAAAAACTTAGCCTGCTCATCCTCCCCTTGCTTGAAAACACCATCCCAAGGCGCTAGGCGCTTAGTCTCAGTCATTCGAACCGTCCCTGCGTTAATGGGTACTCTACCCATGTCCCCTGATGAGACGTGAAGTCGACCGGTGAGGGCTTCGGCGAGTGTGCGGGCGATTTCGTCGGTCGTCGGGTTGGCCGATGGCCGCCCCGCGTGTTGCTGGTGGCGATCCTCGTGCTCTCTTCCGGTCCGGACGTCATCTGTCCTCCGCTCCTCTGCTTCTTGCCTCGACATCTCGGCCAGTCTTGCTTCTACCCTCTGTTCGACCAAGTCGTTGATCCGGGCTTCCTCCTCTGCTAGTCGGGCGCTCACTCGATCTTGCTCGGTGTCGCTCATCGGTGGCTGCTGCTGATCGCCGCAAAGCGATACTCCAAACTAAGCTCGACTCGAATCTCGTAGACGACGTGTCATACGCTAGCGTGATCGATAATTCGGGTGGCTCAGCTGTGTGTGATGGGAGCGTAGAGCAGCTCGGCCATGACGGGCCGCACGGGTAGGTAAAGACGTGTAGACGTGGTGAAAAACGTGTTGTATTCATCGGGGGCGTGCTTGAGCTCGTCATTCCATCACGGCATCAAGTCACGCATAACGCTTTAATACCTAGAACGAATCTCCATGAATCTCCACCAATCTACTACACTCCCAAGGAAAACACAAAGAAACTTCTTGTTCCTCCGTAGTTCGTCACTGCAATCCCCGCATATTTATACGCAATATACCACCCCCATGCTATGCTACGAGTATATCGAATAGCCTCCTCCGGCTTCCATGGAAATCACGTCTGCTTCCATGGAAGCGTGTAAAGCTTCCATCGACGTCTTCCATGGAATCTGCCCACTTTTTTAATGGAAGTCAACACCGAGTGCCATGGAAGCTTGTACCATATGTCAAATAGGGTATGTTGCCCACCCATGCATCGCCATGGGGAAAATATGACTGAACTATTTGTTTTCGTTGAGGTTGGTTTAGAAACGATGCGTCGAGCAAGTCTGGAATGCTTTCTGCCAATCGTGCACGTATGCGACGTTACGCTTCAGGGTGCGGAACTTCGCCGGCAACGTGACCGAATATACATACATGACTCGACACGAGTCATTGACTGCGTGAAGGCCAATGGCTGTCGTCGTTGCGAAACGGGAAAACACCACGGCCGGGGGAGGAAGAAGCAACACACCTATGTGTTCAGCGGGTGGAGGCGGTATACCACCACGACATGATGTTATCATCGATATTATTGTGTGTGTCAAGCACAGGGCAGTCTCGCAGTGCTGTCGAAAGTAAACTGTTGTCATTCTTTGGCCAGAGTTGCGATGCCCAAGGAACGGCCTAGCGGGTGGGCATCGGTTTGTGCCGGCTTTCAAATGGTGGTTGGCGCTCGCGTACAGAGTATACTTACAGCTGTGCATTTGTCCTTGCAGTTACTGTAGACTAGTGGTGTGCAGATGAGATGACCGCTATCAGGTTTCCTTAGAAGGGGGTGCTCGACAACCGGGTGGGGCGAACGCGGCAATCGCGCACTACTGTACATTAAAGACAAGGAGATAGGGCAATAGCAGCACTGCTATTCTGCAGACGAGCGGTCCTCACCGCCATGATTGCGTACGGTAGCGATTACAGTAGGTGAAACCACGGCAGACAGCAGAGCACACGACGAGAGGCAGCTTTACCGCAAACAAGAGACAGCACAGGAAACGCCGACGAACATGTATTTGTGTGCCGAGAACTCCACAGATAAAAGCTTTGAAAGCACTCGGTCTGGGGTCCCGAACCACATGTGGGTCGCCGACTGCTGCTTCATATCATATTGCCAGCTTCGCGCCGGTCATTAGGCGGCGAACCCTGCCACAGCAGTGACTTCAGTGACTACTGCTGTGTACCGCCGTACGGGACGTAGATGTACGTAGAACAAAACGCGATGGAGCTAACCGGAGCTCCTTTCGTTTCCATCGGGATAGCACAGCCGTTCACCTGAGAGGCACCTTGCTTGGTAACGATATGAGAGGGCACGCGGAGATCTACCGGCGCTAGGACTAACTGCTATGAGCTCGCATTTTGTGCTGTAGTTTGAGGACCACAACACCATGGATGGAACAAGCACCCGGCACGGAAGCCGATGATGTGGTTGTTGATCTCGGAAGAAAGACACGAGGAGTTCGAGAGATAGAGAAGACGCCGCTTTGATCCCACTTCTGACCCCATAGGCTTCCAGTCTCAATCCGAACGCATGGTCTTCTTCCCTGCTCCAGGCCTGTTCGTTCGAAGACTGTTCTTGTGACAGCTCAATGGCCGCGAGCTCTTCAGGCACGGGGCACCCCACACACAGCAGCAGCGTGCTCTGAGGTTGTCCCAACAGCGGGTGCGGCGCTTGCTGCACGGCGTGCAGTGAGTCTAATCTTTCGGGTTTCAACACATCTCACCTATCTCCTTTGCGGCGCTTACCACACCTTCTTGCCTCAAACCAGCTACACTACAGTTGTGCACCAGGTGCCGGTGTCGTGATGGCTGCATCCTGCTTTCAACTGTTGTCTTGTAGACATACACCACACCAAACGAGAAACTTCACCAATTCGACACACCGCCCAGGAAAGTTTAGTCAGCCAAGGCAACCATCCTAACAACCGTCTGCTTGTCATCTCCTTGATTTACGTCCTGGCCTCGTAGAGGAGGCCCGTTGTGGGCTTTGGCACAGATTGCCCCAATTTCTCCCTCGCTCTTCGTGAGTAATTTTCGTGTCTCCCTCACTTTGACTACTGGTTGGCGAACAGCCAGGTGCTTGACAAGCCAATTTTCTTGACAACCCAATGGCAAACACTCTCGTGCTAAGGAGGGACTTTCTCATTACCTGGAACTTGGGCAGCGTTGACGATCCTGGTCCCTTTCCTTTCGTGTGTGGGTGCTGCGGGGTGCCGTGGGCCGCGTGCCTTCGAACAGTGCCCCCCCCAATAAACAAGCGAAAATGCGAGCCCCTACATTTTTTTCTTCGAATGTTCCACCGAAACCGGGCGCTGGCAACACTCCATCGTACCGGAGAGAGAGGGGGGGGGGGGGGGGGGGAGGACGAGAAAGAGGCAACGAGAGAGACAGAACAAGAGAGAGAGAGAAAAAAAGAAAGAGATTGGAGCGGACTCCATCCGCCCCTTACCGCCCCGCCGGGCGCGAGGGAGATTACAGAAGTACGTGAGCCCGCCTGGACGCCTTGACAGCACGCTTCATATTGGTCGTCGGCATATTGGGCGCTTGTGCCGTTGGCGAAAGCTTCTCGCGAACAGAGAGGGTTTGAAGATTCGCTCAGCCCCAGAGTAAATTAGGCAGTCTACCCTTTGCGTGTTGGTTGACGCGATGGGACTGCCATAGGTTCATCCATCTGCAAGAGATGCAATCGTGCTGCCGTCCAACTGTAGGCTGTAGGCGACAGGGTGCCATCCTGTCTGCAGTCTGGAGAACATGTTTGGAATGTGGTAGGCGGTTGGGCAATTGTTTTCGGCGTGTGAGTCTTCTCCCACCCTCCGCCTGCCCTCTCTTGTTCCCAATCTACATCCTCTTGCTCTCTCTGTCTCTCCTTCCCCTTCTCCGATCTCGCCCTCGCTGTGTCACTCTTCTTCCTCCATGGCATTTTTCAGCTGTGTTTATTGGATTCGTCCCTCTTCTCTTCGGAAGACAATACGAGTGATGCTACCGTCACACATCGAACCCATGCAAAACGTACATACACATTTTTGTAGTTTATTGCGGAGCTTCCAAGGAGCGTGCACTCTCATCGTTTACGGGCCAACAAAGGCTACACACAGGTATCCTGGCAGATTGGTTATTCGCAGGACACCTGCGGCACGCCACCCATCAAGCCTTTGTCAATGCTGTTCTCAATCGTGATTCAGTTGGAGAATGGTCGAGCGCTCTCTCTATCTACCCCGCTACTGGCTGGGGGACTTCAGCAGATCTCATACAAACCCGGTCGCCCCGGTGGTCTAGATGGTATCCTCGAAACCTTCCAGAGGTCAGGTCAGGGGTTCGAATCCCGGCGCAAGCGAGCTATTCTTGCAAAGTAAAAAGTGACTTGTTCTCTCGCTTCCGCTCCTGGCCTAGTGAATAGCGCTAGTTCGTGTGTACACAGAGGGAAGAGAGTGCTGAACTCTTCTCGCATTAAAAATCGAAGGCAACGTACCGCAGGAGGGGAGGGTAGAGAGGGGCTCTTCTGTGTGACCATGGGTTGGAGTAAAAACGGCACTAGTGCTGTAAGCGCTGATTTGAAGTGAAGACAAAAAAATATATAAATACACGGTAAACGGAGGACGACGACGACTTTGGCGTGTCTCCGCTAAGCGATATTTCAAAACCATCACGAAAGTGGGGTTGCATGTGTTGAGCGACTATTTGTTCGGATGAATGCCCTACAGGAGACTACTACTGTACCATTCGAAAGAACTGCGCGGCAAGCAGGAGTTCCATTTGTTCCACCAAGAACCTGCCCCCTTCTTACCTTCTTCGTGAAGACTCAACACTGTTCGACAACTGGGTGTCAGTGCCGGAGTTGAGCGAGGCGACGCATCACGGGCAAGGGATCGGGTTCGGTCTACGTTGCCCCCACCTGAGCTCAACAGAATGAACTCACCCAACTTCCCCGGCCCTGTCACGCCGGCCTCACCAACAAATCGGATCCCACATACGTGAACGCCCTCGTTTCTTTCCGGACCGACCCAACCGCCCGCTCCTACCATGAACATATCGCCCAATTCATGCGACCAATGGTTGAAATGACCACCCCTAACAGGTATCTCACGAATTACGCGACAATGTTCCGTTATGTTGAAAGCGCAAACTACGTTGCCTTCGTATTGCCATACAGGGTTCACAGATAGACTTTGATCGCTGCCCTACTCATTATGTAAAATACAACAGCCCGTAAATCGAACATGGGTGGATGATTGATTCTAAAAGCACGCGTACAAACGGAGAAACATGTATAAAACGGAGGAGTAACAGGGAGCTCCGTTGGCGGGGGCGGAACCGGGGTGCATGTCTTGCTCGGAGCGATACATCTTCTTCAACGAGCCTCTTATACCTACAGCGACTTCGTCTATGACTGACAAATCGGCGTTGATTCATTGCACTTTCGGGATCATCGATGTAGTACGCAGTTTACTTGAAAAGGAAGGCGGGCGGTACGCCTTCGTATTAGTTCGAACCCATAAACGTAAAAAATGATCGCCAAGCAGCAGTCACCCGGATCGTTCCGTTCCACTCGGAGCCAGGCGCAAACGCAAATTTCGAGTAGCCGACGAGATTGCCCAAAACCCATAGCCTTCCACGCTCGTACCGCACGGAAGGCGCAGGCGTCCCGAACCGTTCTTGATGCCTTTCTTGGAGGTGCCCGTGAACTCGAAACTTTCACGAATTGATTTCATAAGGGAGAGGGACGAAAACGAACAAACGTTCATGGCACCAAGAGCTTTTGGTCGGGCTCAACGATGTTCCGAACTATATTGTGAAGCTGACAATCCTCAATACCCCCCGCAGACGCCGGCTGTAGATGTATCCCCGGCACCACAAAATCGCGGAGATAAGTCAAAAGGCCATACTGAATCAATTCGGGTAGCTATGCCATTTTCAACAAATACTTTTCTCCGGTATTGCCTCACCCTGTGTGGCGGCGAACATAGTTCCCTCACCGCTCCTCCGGCCCCTTTCGAAGCCGCCAGTGTACCGATTTCCGTAGTTGTACTGAGCCGTCGCTTGGCCGGAGAGCTGCCCGTTGTCCCACACACCTCTCGACCCCACACAATTCACGGAAGTGTTGTGCGTTCCTGTAATACCAGAAAATGTGTGACAAGCATCAGATCAACTTTGGCTACCTACCCAGTAGGATATAGTCTAGCGTGTAGTCGTTGTACAACCGAGCCCGTGCCCAAAGACCGAACACCGTCAACGACAGGCACCAGATGCATTTCGCGAAGACGACCATGCGTAAAGCTTCAATCTTTTGCGGTGCCGCCGTGGCGAGAAACTCATTATCGATGGTACGCCCTGACGCACGCGCTACATTGAAATCCATTGAATCCAGACAGGGGACTTGCATGTCACCACATTCAATCGCGTCGCCTGCCGCGGACTTGAGTTGACCATTGCCATGCTTTCTCCTGCGTCGGAAAAGGACGTGAAAAAATCACCGAACAGTGCTGCCGGCGGTAAAGCAAAAGTCTACTACCGTAGTCAATGCGCGACACGCAATGATTGACATCGTTGTGTCGCCACTAGCAGCGGGACTCATACCCACATGTCCTCAGCTACCTCAACTATCCTACGCGCGGAATACAACCCAATTCCCATGTTGATTCCGGTCTAAACTCTGAAGAAACCCTCGAACACATTCCCGTCCTTGTCGCTGAGCTTTCTATGGCCGTGCCGACGGTCGTTGCTCCAGGCGACGTCATAGGTGGAGTCGGGGCCACTGTATACGCCGTGACCGTGTCGAAGATCACACCATAGGCCACCTGTCGGGTATGGGCGATTCGTCAGCAATACTCCATGCGAATGATAGGATGCCCCCACATTCAGACGGTTCACTCAACCATTCACTTGGTCTTGGGTCTAGTTGGTCGTGTGCGATGCCCTGTTCAATGCATAGGCTTAGTTAGACGCGAGCCCACCTTCGTCCTCTCCACCTTCACCTCCATGCACGATCTTTCCTTTCCCGTGCATTTGGTTCCCCACCCAGGAGCCGACACACATGTCGCCGCTACCGGCGAAGCGGATTCCTCCTGTCATCAAACGTGCGCTTGGGGCGGGCAAGTTTATCATTTCAATTTCGCAGCCAGGTGAGAGTGTAAAGATCGCACCCGTGCTGCATTACGCTCCCAGAAGCTGGCAGGTGTAGTAGACTCTGCGCCTATTTGTCGTCGGCAGTGGGCCGGAAAGCCGTTCACATGAGAACAGGGGCAAGTTAAGAAAAATTTCATTCTTGTACTACAGTGAGATAATCTCTTACTTCCTTTGTCGGGGTCAGTGGGAGGGGGGCTCACCTTGACCGTGACAGGCTCCAGCTTTCCACTGCTTGTCGTACCACTCGTTCTCACCACCGGTAGCTGCCGCACAAGATCGTTTGAAAGCCCGCCACTGCATATGTCGAGGGAAATGCCGGCGCAACTTACCCTACCGTTCATCATGCCGTATGTCCCACCTTTGGCTTAGAAGTCGCTGTTAACGAAGGTGTGGTTCTGCTACCGCAAGCTTTACCTACTTCCGTCAACCCGTGTGAGTATTTTCGTTCGTGTAGTGGCGTGTTCCCGGAAGCAAGAACAAAAACGTTTACGCTTTTCTTGATCGATTCACTCCCTCAACACCTGTCACTAAAGGCGGCAGAAACTCCATGCATGGCCTTTTCCTCAGCGAGAATAGCACGAGTCGTAGCCTTTCGTTGAGGGCTTGTCACTTTGTATGCGGGCTCCGGTGGAATATTCACTGTGAGGGACAAATGTGTCGTGCGGGTCCCAAACTTCAGTCTGGTCGCCCATGACAGCCGGGTTGACAGCGGAACCAACGACGAGTGAATTGAGCAACACCAAAATTGTTACAGCTACGTCAATTTTGAGAAGGTCATCGTATTTCGTAGCTCCCTCGACCCGAGAGCGAAATAGTACTGCATGGCCACCATTGGCCGGATCTGTGATGCGAGTGGAAAGATGCATCGGTCCGTGATCTGGAAAACCGGTTTCACGGTGAGCTTGTGAACGTCATTGAGAAGGACAACAACGTCGACTCGGCCCATATTTCAGTCAAGGAAGGCATCATCCCTCAATTCTCGAAGCACTAGACCTGGGCCCTCTTCATGCCGACCACCACTCAAGATTGGAGACAGAGAGCCCAGGGCTTTGACATGAAAATACTCCATTGTAGCTGACAGTGCCGACGTCGAACGAAAGTGAAATCGTGTGGCCATCGTCACGTCGTAGCCTTGAGGTCTTGATATCTCTTCCATTCCAAATAGCACTTTCCCAAAAATTCTGATGAGGTGGAATTTATATCCTTGGTTTACGCCGCCTCCATCAGCGCTCCCTCAAACACTGTTGATAGTACGGAAACAACTGCACATCCCAAACGACGGTCCAACAATCAATTCCAAATCAAGACGCGGTACAATGATTGCGACTTCCACCCGGCATACCTTGGCCTTTCCCAGCAGCCGCTGTAGGTCGTGATGAAAGTGAGCTCGCCCTTCCAACACGCAAGTCGGGAGTGAAGATAAACTTTCATCGCACATCAGGAAATGTATGAAGGTTGGGCAAACGAGAGATGAATGAACCAATTTGACGGAACTATGACTTCGCTGGGATACGTGGTTGAACAATGTCATCCGAGACACCCCCGTTGGAATTGCAAGCGACGCGGGAACGGGTGCCACACAATGTACACTGTCTACTCCAGAATTGGTTGGGGAATGAATCCCATGTCATCCACAGGCCTATTCCAATATAGTGTCCATTCAGATGTTGGGGTCGGTGATTCCATCCACAGCAATCGGAGACGATGGCGTGGAAAACAGCGAACACAAAATTGACTTCAAACTGGGTCATCCTCACGAACTACACCCGTGGTGAGAAGAGCCTTATGCTATCAGCTTAAAATCCAACATGTGCTATTGTACGCTATAACAGCAGCGTCTAGAGGAACACTATTTGAATAATATGACATTTTTGCAGTTGGGGTGCTTTCTATGGTTTGCAGCATGCCCACAACGATTCCGAGAACGCACTTGAAGGGACGCCAGCCGATTCGCCCTTTCGTGCCTTAGTTTAGCCACATCCGCATCACAAAGGTATGGCGTTAACCTTGTAGGGGGACAAGATGGTGGCGTACAAAGTTAAGTTCCGGTGTGTATTTCCAAACCACAGCAGCAGTGCACAAACGTGTATTTGCCGAGCATTTCCACATCTTACCGTGCGATGGCGCATGCCATTCTTCCATATTCCTTCGCAAACCTGACACGAGATAGGATCCAAGAAGCAATGCAGCGTAGAGGTATCAGACGAATTGAAGCACCACGGGTCCAATCAGTGAAGTGCACCACCTAGGAAACATAGGCTCACAAGGGCAGGCTTCGCCGGCCGCTCCTACGACCAAGCCTTCTCAGCGTCAGCCCACCGTTGTCTTGAAGAGATATATTTTCCAGCAAGGCACATTCAATACGCCAATATCCGCAATAACAGAACAGTTCATTCGGTGATAAACAGAGCACTTGGTCAGTGCTGTTGCTAGGTTAGCTCAGAGAGACCAGCACCCTGAATCGCCTCCTCTAGAAATGAATCATCGCTTTTCAGTTGTTGATTGCTGGTTGCCGGAGAAGAGCGGGTAGGAAATTGCCTCGCCGTCGTCGTACTCGGTCCGCCCTTGGCCTCTCATGGTGGATGACTTCTTCGAATTTGACGATCGTATTTTCCTACTGTCGGACCAACGATGTGTTTCGATGTGTTTCGATATGGTGTTTCATGGAGACCAAGAGGGGGCCGAGTATGACGGCACTACAGTACCGAGACTGCTGGGCACGCCAAGTCGCAGCAAGCGTACGGGCCCTGCAGCCGGCGACCAAGACTTCGATTCATTTTGCCGTCAGCAATATGGTTCTTGACTTCAGGCACGAGGAAACCCCCCTTCGCCCGTAAAGTGACTGGGGAGAGAGAAGACGGGGAGATGAACTGCGCGCACCATGTTAAACCTATGCGGCTCGCTGCGGCACCATGGTCACTGTAGGTCCGGAGGAGGGGGTGTACTCATAGTCGTGCACGCCGTAGTCGTTAGACCATTGACCTCGCATCCCTACAAAGCCGGGACGGAGCACGCCGGGTTCTCACCGGACTAGGCTCTCATATCACCAAGCGCGAAGCGCCGTGAGGTATTCGGCGAGTCGCATGAAGGGTGCGCTGCATCCTGCTAAGGGTGTTCGGCATCTTGTGCTTACTTCCTTGCGTACGGATGACAGCTGCGTATGACATAATTTATTTTCTGGTGCTTTCACTTCCAGAAACAGGTAAAGCATTGTGTAACTGCCTCGAGGATGCTTTACCATGTTAACACAACGTGGTGCGATCATCCCCCTTGCGCGGAGTGAGGGTTCTCGACCCCGCACAACATGATCTACTCGACCACCATTATGGTTACCGCAAAAAAAAAAAACCGAGATAAAAAAAAAAACGGTAACGTGGTTGCCGAACTCACGAAGTGAATTGGCTTGTTTTACAACGTCGTTGCCAACATGAAGCGACGAAAATCCAATCCCGGTGGCAAACACCGGGGGGGCGGCTTGTTTTACAATGTCGTTGCCAAGCGACGAAAACCCAACCCCGATGGCAAACACCGGGGGGGCGGTCCGGAGAGGGGTGAAAAAAAAAATAATGAAACGGCGGCACCCCCTGCTCTCCGCGCATAAGAGGCGAGGCTCGGGGGCAAAATACTGCCAACGATGGCACTACAAACGAAGAATTCAGTTGAGACCTTCGTTATGCAGTTCAACCCAGTCCGGCGATCGGAAGCGGCGTGGGCCTGCTTCTTGTTGCGGTGTCTGGGCGGATGTTGTCATCATATCGGGTGAACCACCGGCGGAATCCGGTGGAAATACATCGTCGCGACATGCGACGAGTGCTTGAAGGGACATGAAGGTTGAAGTAGCTTTGAATCCACTCGTTATTGGAGAAGGGGCTCATAAACTTTGCCAAGATTCACGGCGGTATTGAGCTTACGAAGATTGAATCAGCCTGGCCTGATAAGTTACCTACGCGCTGGGATGCGCCCCAAGCGCACTGCTGTCAAGAATATATACTCGCAGAGAGGGCATGTCGGCTGCTGTGAAGTGCACCATGAGGCTCCAAACTAAACCAACGGAAGCGTTCGCTGCCCACCTGTTGGTCACAGACTACACCGGGAGAGACCTCTCCATTCAGCGGTCGGCAGTGGGAGAGAGTTTTCTTTCTTCCGGCGGTTTCCGCCGACAGGCGGGGTCCCGCGGTTTCTATTGGTTCTTGTTACCCCCCCTCGGGAACCACATTGGCCACGCCATGCGGCCGCAAGCCACGCCACATGGCCTACATAGGTTCCTCACCCATTGTCGTCTCTCTCACCTACCACTTCCAGGGCGAATAGAGTGTCCTTGTGGCTGAAGGAGGAAGAGCTGTCCCTGGCGTTGGAAAATCATCGTGGGCTTGGTCGCCGGCTGCAGGGCCCGTCCGCTTGCTGCAGTTTTCGGCCTGCACAGCAGTCCGTTGATCTCAGTGAACCACCATATCGACACACACCGTTAGGCCGTCAGTAGGCAAATATGATCGTCAAATACGAAGGAGCCATCTACCACGGCACCATGGAAGGCCAAGGGCGGGCCGAGTACGACGACGGCGAGGTAAGTTTCCTCACCGCTCTTCGCGAGTGATCTGCCGTCAACTACTGAAACGGGTGTTTCATTCCTAGAGTGGGACAGTCAAGGGGAGAATGGTTGCTGGTCTCTCCGAGCTAACCAAGCAAGACCACTGACCATGTGCTCTAATTATCACCGAATGAACGGTACTGCAATAGAGGATAATGTCGTGATCGATGTTCCTTGGTGGAAAAACTTACCTCTTCAAGAAACGATGGGCTCAGACTCTGTTGGCTCAGCCGTAGGAGCGGCCGATGCATCCTCTTTGCCATTTTGAGCATATTTTTCCCACGTGATGTACTTCACTGCTTGGATCCGTGGTGCTTCATCCCCGGATTAAGGTAGGTGCTCGCCGATGGATATCCACTTCATTTAGTTATCGTTGTGCGTTCGGGCTGGCTTGGTCACAGATATGATTTTCCTGAACAACGCGGCCGCACTTGCAGCGAACAGCATGTACTGCAATCATCGTCCGAAACCTCGGATTTTCTCACCCTACCGGGGTGCTATTCCACGCCGCCCCGTTCAAGTTTCCCCTCCTCTTCTCTTCCCTGATCCCTCTACGCTGCCTTGCTTCTTGGATCCTATCTCGCATCAGGTGTATGAAGGAATGTGGAAGAATGGCATGCGTCATGGCACGGTAAGATGGGAGAAATGTCCAGCGCTCACGGGAGTGTGCGTCTCTGCTGTGACGTAGAAATACACTGATCTTTGCTTCGTAGGTCATCATCTCGTCTCCCTTTGAGTTAAACGCGACACTCGTGCTGCGGACATGGCTACAGACAGCCACGCGAGGGCCAATCGGCTTCTACTGTAGTCAGGTAGTCCTTGAACGTTGACTGGGCATGCTGCCATCAATATGTGCTGGGGTGAAATGAAATCATAAACAACAGACCCATGCCATTTCTTCAAATCACGCTCTCTCCGCGGAGCCGCCAGCAAGTGTTGCACACGCTGGCTCTCGGTGTTCAAACATTTGGTTCTATTCACCGCAGGTGTATCGAGGTCTTGCGAATGACGTCAATGAAAAGGGAACTTTCTACTCACTTCTTTCCACCCCATTCGTCTTGGATTGCTGTGGATGACCAACATCTGAGAATGGGCGATAAACTGGGATATCCTGTTCAAATGTGATTTGATTCATTCACCAGTGTCTGGAGCAATGGGCAGTATACGTTGTGTGACCCGTTTCCGTGAAGCTCATTTCCAGCCGAGACGTTTCTAGCAACATCGATCAACTACCTATCCCAGTAAAGTCACAGTTGGGCCCACGTCCCTCACGCGTGTCACGATCGCCAAACCGTCAACCACTTCCTGATGTAATGAGGCAACCCGTTATTCACTCCCGACTTATTTGTTGGAAGGGTACACTCACTTTCACGAACGGCTCGACCTACAGCGGCTCCTGGGATAAAGATGCTAGACGAGGCCAAGGTATGCCGTGGGAATGTCGGGATATGAGGATGTGCCCTTCATTCCGTAATGTCGACGGCATTTCAGGGAGAGTCATTCGACCCCATTGGCATTCAAGGCGAAATCGAATGTCCTCCGAATGGAAGTAAAATGGAAGCCTTGAGGCCAGAGGATGGGTCATGGCGGGATGATTCTTGCCAAATGGGATAAGTATTTCATTTCTGACCTCGACAACATTTGGTGCATGTGGAGTCCCCGTGGGCATAAAAAGCAAGGCTTTTTACTTCACTCAAATCTTCAGTTGTGATCGAGATGAAGATGGTCCACATCTGGTGTATCGATCGTTGAGGGATAATGCCATGCATTAAATACGGTTGGACTCGACGTTGCTATCGGTCTCCCTGACGTTCATACCCACACGGCGAAAAGAGGTATTCGAGATCACGGACCGGCGCACACCACAAAGCCGGCCTATCGTGGCCACGTTAGAGTCGTTCGCTTTCGAATCGACATAACCACGAATCATACCGGCCCTCTCAAGGTTGGCGTATGCTGCGGGTGATTGTGGTACTCCTCAATCCGCTCATTAGTGAATATTCGTCAGGACCCGGTATTCGCAGGGGACGCGTTCTCAGCACTTGGCTCAAACGCGCGCTTTTCTCGCTGACGACCTAGTCCTGCATACCTTTCGTGAAATATTCCGAGGAAGTGAATCGATCAAGAATCGCGTGAACGTGGTTGTGCATGCCTCCAGGAACATGCCACTACACGAACGGTAATACCTACACGGGTTCATGGAAAGATGGACAAGCGTGTGGTGCCGGGACACAGACCTTCGGTAACGGTGATCGCTACGACGGAGATTGGAAAGATGGGATGATGAGCGGCAAGGTAGGTTCCGCCCGCATGCTACTTGACGTATGCAGCAGTGAGTTTTCAAAGACCTCATGCCGCCGTAGCTTCAGACGGTTCCCCTGAAGATCCTATGCCGCTCGCCGAATCGGATTCGGCGGTCCGCTGGGTGATGTCCACCAGGGTACCTACGTGAGTGCGAACGGAGATAGGTACGAAGGGGAGTGGACGGACGATGAGAAGAACGGCAAGGGGCGTCAGACATTTGCCAGCGGTGGCGGGGGCGGCGGCAGAGGGGATGAGCCCGAGAAGGTGGCAGCTACCGGTGGTGAGAACGAGTGGTACGACGGGCAGTGGAAATCTGGAGCATTTCACGGTCAAGGTGAGCTTTCCTCCTACTAACGCCAACAGAGGAAGCAAGAATGGAAATTTTCTGTGTTCACTGCGTGAAACATATCTGACCCTTGTCCACACGTGGACGGCTTTCCGGCCCACTGCAGACAACAAATAGATAACTGCGCGCCGTCTACAAAACGTTTTGCCATGGGTCCATTCAACCGCGCAAAGTATGCGTTTACCGCTTGGGAACACAATGCAGCACTGGTGCGATCTTCGCCCACTATCGTGGCGGTCAATGCGAAATATATAGCTGATATATTTGCCTGCCCCAAGCGCACGTTTGGTACACAGGAGAATACCACTTCGCCAATAGCGGCGACGTGTATGTCGGCTCCTGGGTGGGGAACCAAATGCACGGGAAAGGGAAGATCGAGTATGGCGGTGACGGTGGAGAGTACCAAGGTGGGCTCGCGTCCAACTACAGAGAACGTTGCGTAGAGCAGGGCATCTCACACCACCAACTGAACCCGAGATCAAGTGAATGGTTGAGTGAACCGTCTGAATATGGTGGCATCCTATCATTCGCATGGGGTATTGCTGACGAACCGCCCATGCTCGACAGGTGACCTATGGTGTGATCTTCGACACGGTCACGGCGTGCACAGTGGCCCCGACTCTACCTATGACGGTGCCTGGAGCAACGACCGCAGGCACGGCCATGGAAAGCTCAGTGACAAGGACGGGAACGTGTTCGAGGGTTTCTTCAGAGAAGGTTTGCACCGGAATCAACATGGGAACTGGGTATTCCGCGCGTAGGACACGAGACAATGATACTGGAGGTAGTAGAGGATATGGGTATGAGTGCAGCTGCCGGTGGCGACACGACGATGGCCATCATCCCTTGTCGCGCATTGACTACGATACCGTAATGCTTCACCACCAGCATCACCGTCCGGTGATTTTTCACATCCCTCTCCACGCAGGAGAAAAGCATGGCAACGGTCAACTCAAGTCCGCGGCAGGCGACGAGATTGAAGGTGGTGGCATGGCCGTTCTCGTCTGTATTCGAGGGACCTCCGTGTAACGTGCCTTCGTAGCGTTCATGAGATTTTTGTCATTGCTGCCTCGCGAGAGAGTGAAACATTTCAGTGGTGGCGATGATGAGTGTCTTGGCCTTCTTCGGAAAATCGCACGTGGTACCTGTGGTTGGCGGTGCTCGGTCTTTGGGCATGGACTTGGTTGAACAGGGACGGTATCGAAAACTAGGATGTTCTCAACTGGCCAGGCAGTGAAAATTGCTCTGATGCGGGTCCTACCTTCCTGGTACCTTCCTGGTATTCCGGTACGCACAACACTTCCGTGAATTGTGTGGGGTGGAAAGGTGTGTGGGACAACGGGCAGCTCACCGGTCATGCGACGATTCAGTACAAGAACGGTGATCGGTACACCGGCGGCTTCGAAAGGGGCCGGAGGAGCGGCGAAGGAACTATGTTCGCCGCCAAAACAGGGTGAGGCAACACCGGAGAATCGTCATTGTTGAATGCATTACCTCTGGAATGAATCTCCGCGATGTTATGGTTCCGGGAATACACCCGCCGCCGTTGTCTGGGGGGGTATTGAGGATTGTCAGCTTCAGATCGAAACACCCTCGAGCCCGACCGAAAGCTCTCGCTGCCGTTCCTCTCTTGAAATCATACCGTGAAAGCTACGAGTTCACCGGCACCTTTGAGAAGGGCGTGAAGAACGGTTCGGGACGTTTGCGGCTTCCGTGCGGCGCGAGCGTAGAAGGCCTATGGATATTGGGAAATCTCGTCGGCAACTCGAAATTTTCGTTTGCACCTGACTCCGAGTGGAACGACCCGAGTTACTGATGCTTGGCCATCCTTTCGCGTTCATGGGCTCGACAATCACGGAGGTCTGCGTAGTCGCACCGTCGCGTTTCCTTGACAAGTAGACTGTACCGATGCGTTGTCCCGAAATGCAGTGCCGAAAATGCAGTGCCGAAAATGCAATGAGTCAACGAAGTTTGGGCCGGTACATTACCCTAGGTGATTCTGGAATGACAATCCTTTTTTGCCATCGATAAAGTGTGTACATAGGTGCGGAGGGTTTCGTTGATGAAGATGTATCGCACCGAGTCGGACAAGCACCATTCAGGGTAATTCCCCCGGGGCTCCCATTCATTCCTCCTTTTTTATGTGCGCCCTCCATTTCTACGCAAGTACTTTTAGAATTAGCCATCCCCCCTGGCATGTTCGAGTTGACGGGCTGTTGTTTTCACGAAGAGGGGGGCAGTGATCAGGATCTGTGAACCCCGTATGGCAATGTCAAGGTGTTGGCAAAGCACGATCATCAGTAGAGCGCGTGCTCTCAAGTGGGACAAGTGCTAAGGGAACGAGGTCATCAGCTTGTGAGATGTCTGTAGGGGGGGCGTGCCCTTTACGTTTTACATGCCTTAGGGGTTAGACCATTCGCCACGCGTCCTCGAGATGACGGAGCATTGTTCCCACGGAGGACCGACTACCGATGACCAATCGTTCCTTCCTACTTTGCCAAAGGTGGCTCAAAAATATCTTCCCAAATCAATATATCCTATCGATATCACTTTCCGCCTTTTCAACCCACTTCCTATGCCCCAGATGTCTGTTGTGGGGTGATTATATCAACCTTTGTTTGTATTAGTTGGAGTGTATGCGGAGGTGGGCGGTTGGGCCCGTTGGGAAAGAAGAAAGGGTATAGAGTGAACATATATGGGGCGCGTTTCATTGATGGGGCTGGCGAGACAGACCTGGGGAATGTGGATGTTTTCATTCTGATGACCTCAGGTGGGGGGTGACGTGGGCTGAACCCGATCGATTTCTGGTTATGATGCTGCTGCCACGCTCAACGCCGGCACTCGCATCCCACTTGTCGCTGCTTTTTGAAGGTGGGGCATCTGTACAACAAATAGCCGCACTTTGGCGCAATACACTTTTGAAAGCCCTAAACACACCAGAGACATCGCTGCCTTCTGTTCAACTTGTATGACAAGTGCTGAAGTTTCCCAGACAAGACCACAAGACCGCGAGGAAGGTACATCGTAGAGCATACCGCCCGACCGTTCTCCAGCTTTCAATAAATAGAGTCCCGAAAGGTTTGGTCAACAGCGCGCGGTAGGCGTGCTGTGGGACACGCCGTCGGGGAAACCAAATATGTCAGGACACTCTTGACCTGTGTGTAGCCCTTGTTGGCCCGTCAACGACGTGACAGTGCAAGCCCGGAAGTCCGTAACAACACTACAAAAGAAGTAGGTTCTGCACGAATATATGGTCCAGACTGCAGACACGATTGCATCCTGTTGCCTGTTGGAAGGCAGCACGATTGCATCCTGACGCCATCTCCTGAAGATGAACCTGTGGGGCCAATCTTGCCCCATGGCGCCACCCAAGACGGAAAGGTGGACCGCCTTTCCGTTCCCCCGGGACCAAGCGTGGATTTCGAAGCTTCAACCCTCCCTGTTCGGTGTGGCCACCAAAGCATTCGCCGGAGCCACCAAGCGCCAAATATTTCGCATATGACGCGACGACTTCTCAAGTCGTTCATACGGGCTCAAATATTGTGCGTCTCCCTTGTGCCCGGTGTGACAACAAAGGGCGTGCTCCAATCTCTCTTTCTCTGTCTTTCTATCGCCCTCTCTCTCCTGAACAATGGAGAGTTGCCGGTGCCCTCTTTCACTTTTTTGGGGGGGGGGGGCACGGTTTGGAGGCCCCACGTCGCGGCACCCCCACCAGCACCCACATCACACACACGAAAGGGAGCTACAGCAGCTCGTCAACGCTGCTCATATTCCAGGTAATGAGAAAGTCCAGACCACGAGAGTGTTTGATGCTGGATTGTGAAGATCATTGGCGTGTAGAGCACCTGGTTGGCTGTTCGTCAACCAGTACTGTAGTCAAGATGAGGGACACAAATTTGAGACACAGAAAGAGCGAGCGAGAAGTTGGGCAACAACTCGCCCACACAGGACCTCCCTCTACGAGGCCAGGCCATAGATGAAGGAGCTGGGAACGAGATAGTTGTTCAACATAGTTGCCTTGGCTGACTAGACTTTCCGGGACGGTCTGTCGGATTGGTGAAGTTACCGTTTGGTGCGCTGCTATAGAAGGTTGCTACTGCAGCAGTACCACAGTCAAGCTTAAACTTACAGCATGTAGACAATGTAGACACTGGTACCTGGTACACCACTGTACGTATTGTAGCTGGTTTGACATACGACGGTGTGCGAAGCGCCAATAAGGAGATACATGCGATGTGTTGAAAGCCGGGAAATCAGGTTCACTGCATAGACTACACGGTGCAGCAAGTACCGCACGTGTTGGAAAAACCTCAGAGCACTGTCTTGCGGTGTGCGGGTGCCCCATGCCTGCCAAAGACCGCGCGGCTATTGAGCACTCACAAGAAAAGCAGCAGTGTTCGACTAACAGGCCTGGAGCAGGGAAGAAGACCATGCGCTCCAATTGAAGCCGGGCCCCTATGGGGTCAGAAGTGGGATGAATGCGGCGGCTTCTCTATCTCTCGAGCAACTCACGTCTTACCCCCGAGACAGGCCAAGATCAACAACCATCTGCCTTCGTCACGGTCCTTTTCAAACTGCTGTACACAAGGCCAGCTCAAAGTGTAGTCCTAGCGCCGGTAGCTCTCAGCGCACGTCCTCATAACGCTACCAAGCAAATTTCCTCTCACATATGCGAACAGCTGAGCTACCCCGAAAGGACGCGAAGGAGCTACAGTAACAGCTGTGGTTAGCTCCATCGTGTCCAGCGTGTACGTAGATACAGCAGCTGCATTGTGTCAGCGATCGTGCATGCATTGTTATATACTCTGTAGTGCTGTCTGCTGTCACCTGATCTGAAGTCACTGCTGTGGCAGGGTTCGCCGCCCACTGACTGATGCAAAGGTGGCGAACATGTTGAAGCACTCGACTACAGCAGTCGGCGACACCCATGCAGTGTACAGTAGTGCGGACCCAAGACAGAATGCTCTCAATGCTTCAAAAGTTTATTTCTCGGCGCACACGGCACACACGCGCTCGTCGGCGTTGCTGTGTTATCTTGTGGGGTGAAGCTGCCTCTCGTCGTGTGCTCTGCTGTCTGTTAGGTGTCACCACTTCATCGACTGGCTGAGTAAGATACACTGCGCTGCACATCATGACGGCGAGGAACGCATGCTGCAGAACAGTACGGATTTTTTTTATCGCTGTTCTCGTCGTCTTCGTTGATGTGCAGTAGTGCGCGATGGCCGCGTTCACCCCTACCCGTTTGTCGCGCAGCCCGTCCTAACACAACGTTTTCACGGTCATCTGATATGCATACATACCTAGAGCTGTATGTAACGCGCGCGCCCGACAACCACTATCTGAAAGCTGCAACAAACCGATCCTACCGCTGAATAGGCCGTTTGGTTTTTAGGGGCATAGCAGATCGTAAATCTGGCCAACGAATGAAGACGTTTCCTTCAGTAACATCGACAGTACTGCGAGATTGTTCTGCGCATAACACACACAACATCTCGTGGTGGTACCGCCTCCGCCCGCTGAACACGTAAGTGTGTTTCTTCTCCCCCCCCTGACCGTGGTGCTTTCCCGTGGCAGAAGGACGGCGAATCATTGGCCTTTCACGGGGTCAATTTACCGTCGCATTGCCGTTGAAGTATCATATCGCATATGTATGTGTTTGGCACAAGAATGCGTTCTAGAACCTACTGAAAATCCATGGCTTCTAACCGATTTCACGTTGACAACATGATATGATTGTTATGGATGATCAACACCCCAGTGACGTCAGACCATGGGATTCGATGTGAAAGCCGTGTGTCGGATTCCTGCGCCATCTTCCATGGAAGTTGGACCAACTTCAATGGAATTTTGTTTGTTTCCATGGAAGTATGACCCGGCTGCTTCCGGAAGTTGTATGTTTAACTTCCACGAACGCGTGAAGAGCTTTCATGAAAGTCATGACTTCCATGGAAGTTCGTCCGTCGAACTCCTCCCCGAAACTGGAAGGTAATTCAGTGCTTCCATGAAAGCAAGTTGCACGGAAACGGTTTTCAGGCCTGGAAGGTAACTTCCATGGAAGCTCGACAACTTCCATCAACGCAACTTGCACTGAGTTGTTTGTCAGGGCTGGCGCGCAACCTCCCTCCATGGAACATTGAAAACTTCCATGAAAGCAACTTCCTTGGAAGTGTTTGTCGGTGATGTCTCACGACTTCCATGGAGGTACAACAAGTTAACACACAACACGAGATAGTACGCTCCCCGAAGAATACAACATCCGGTGGCATTTAGAAGCCTAAACTTATCGATCGGTAGTCAACCATATGGTACGGAGGTAGTTGCCGGCTTACCGTTCTTTTCGGAGGGTTCTGCAAGAAATGGAAGATGGCCAGGTGTGTTGGGTTTCAAAGACGAGCAATTGCTCGGTACTACGTCCTCCAAGTGCTTCACGATAATGTTGTCCATGGAGGCGGGCATCCTACTGAAGGATTGCTATGGAAGCTTCCCGTGCACGATTCCACGAAATTAGACCTTCACGATAATCTCCATGGAAACTCGACTCCGGTGGAATACTTCCATGGATATGTGCCATAAAGCTTTCATGGAAGTCGAAATATTTTTTTCCTACATGGAAGTTGGTCGACTTCCACTAGCTCTGCCATGGAAGCTGCTGTTAAACCTCCTCTATCTTTGCTTCCACGGAAGTTCCCTCGACGTCGATGGAAGTCGCTTGGCGAGCTTGGATGGAAATCAGATTTTACCAAGCTTCCATGGGAAGCCACACAATTTTGTCAAATAGTGTAGGAGATCGCACTGCATGGGATTCTCATCTCCTTTGAGGGCTGCCATTTTTAAAAGGTTTCCCCCGGTCCCAAATATTGTTCTACATTTCTTTGATCAACAAGTTCTGATGTGGTGATATGCCTTGTGTAGCGCCGGTATCCAAGCTGAATGTCTCCTCCCCTTCCTCTCCTCTTGGTCCCTTGAACCGTGTCGTTCAGGTTTAACAAACGATCTGAGGCGGACTACGTAGTCTTGGTAGGGGTCAACCGCGTTGTGTCGTGTCAAGTGGAAACATTCTGCGAGCGGTGTTGTAGGCGGTATGGCGTGGAATTCCATGCCACTTCCGTCTGTCCTGCTTTCATGGTGCAGTCCTCGCGACTTCATTCTTAATAAATGTTTTGCCGCACGTCCCCAATCCCAAGTGGAATCGATCTCTGCTCCTGCTTAATTGACCCCCCCCCAAACGTCAAGCCAATTCAGAAGACTAAGAACCTTTTGTGCTACCTGGTTGATTCTGTCTCCCAGGTAGGGTGGACAAGAACATGGCCACCTCCACGGCTCAAGCAAAGGACAGCAAAAAGCTCCCCGTCTACAACAACCGCACGAATGATGTTCCTTCGACACGATCTCGATGGTCATCGTCAGCATCGTCATGCTCCTCGTCGCGTGCGGCCCCATATTCTGGTCAAGATCAGCTTGACGCACAGCCTGCAAACTCATCGGTATCAAGCGAAAGCCCAGCTCTGCATGCTTTAAATACTCCCGGCCAGGCAGCGGCAGCGGGCACGAAGGAAGGTGTGTTCGATCATTTACTCTTCAAATATTGCGCCGACGTCTCAGACGAGAAACATATGAGCCATAAGTTGAAAGATACGATACGCGGGTTTGTTGGTTTTCCGCCATTCGATCGCTGAAATCGACTTTTTTTGTACCAATAATTGCTTCTTGTTAACTGCATCTCCTTCCACGTTTTTCTGTTTCAGCTGTTGTTCGATCCGCGAAGGTTTGGCTAATTTGTGTATCGCGGGTGATTGGTGCAGGGCTACATAAGAAGCGACACATTTGGGAGGAATCTGGCCGCCTCAGTGATTGCTTCATTGGATCCAAGTAGATACGCCTAAGTGGATGGCCTGCTTATGTTTGGATCCTTGTGTTGTGAGGACTAGCCCCACTTTTGTTTCCTGAGCATATGCTGAGAAACCCTGACTGCTGGGTAAATGTGTATTGTATTGCCATCGCAATCAATCTGTCTCCCTTTGAGGTGCCATATGCATATTTTCGGGCAACGCGTTCAAACCTTACGGCACTTGAGGCGTTGACTGCCGACTATTGTCTGCAGGCCCATGCTGGTGCACACTTTGCTACAGTTCGCGAACGAGACCTTTTTTTGTGACACTTCGCCGGACACGACAGTTGGACGCGCTCAGCGCCATCAACTCCCTATCCCCGCTTGCTTTTGAAGCTTTCGACAAGCCAAATGTCGACAGCTCAGCAATCGTGTCCCATACTCTCAGCACCCTTGGATATACTCAACATCTGGAGTGTTCCTCCGATCCTGATTTAATGTAGGAGAGCCGGAAGAAGTGGTGCATGACGGCTCAGCATGTTATTTTTCATATGTATATGCTGACCCGCGTCACTGAGGGACCAGCAAGTCCGGGGTGGTGCTGAAGCACCTCCGAATAGGACGCCAACAGTTTTCCCCTCCCTTTTTGTCTCCTTGGCCTCCCTTTCTTGGGCTCTGTTTTGCGTGCAGGTTCGGGCCCTTACCCCTTGCGGCCAAGGCCCACCCACGGCGCGGTGGTGAAACAAGCACTCAGCATATTCAAGTATTCCGCATCACAACCCGGCGGCCCCGGTGTACCAGTCCTGTCGGCATTCCCGTCATCTGCAGCTTACCCCGCAGTCCCTCTCGCACAGGAACCACTCATCCCAATGCGCTGTCAGGTGCAAACGAACAGCGAACCTTCAGAGATTCGCGGTCCCTTCACTTTCGGTTTTGACATGGCGATGTTGTCTGCTTCGAAATCTGTGACTTGATTACCTAGTTGATTTTAATGTGCCGACCTAAAGGTAGAACAAATCTTGTCGATCCTGCCCTTGCAAGGGAACCCGGATACGGTAGAGTCGCGCTTTTGCAGGTTTTCCGGGTAGGCGATCATGTTAAAGTTTCCCGGCTGGGCCATAGGTAAGAATAGAGGCTGCCCATTGACTCATCGACGGTATGATCTGCCTGCCAGAGCTTCTTCGTGGTTCAGTGCGCGTGGCGGTGCAGCCGCCAAATATTTTTATTTTGTTGTTGTTGTTGTGTCTGGAGCGATTTCTCGTGTCACGCTACGCGTTCTGGGCGTAGGCAAGTGTGTATTGATTTCACGCCGAGAATTGGACGGTACGAATAAGGCCCACTCTGCTCCCCTCTCGAATATGCAGCACCGGGGGTGCTCGAATCTGGCGAGGTATGGCCCGCTGGACTCTCCACCTCGCGCCTGTCAGTTGCATAAGAGGGTGGGCCAGTTCACCACCGACCGCCACGGAGCACTGTTCAGAGCCACCCGTGAAGGAAACGGTGAGGAAGTAGCAGCTGAGGTGTCTGTTTCCGTCTGTCAGTTCGGTCGCGTCAGGTTTCGTGGCCGTGCCTGCAGCACGATTATGTTGTTGATCACTTTCTGCCTTGACGCTTTGAGTGTCTTTGATATTTTTTTCTCCTCTTTCACGTTTTCAGACAGACAAATTGTTGAGACACAAACACCCACACAATTCATACGTAAAGTGAGTAGTCAACCGTTATTCTCGTATTAGCCCCACCCCGCGCCACAAACGATGCGACAACTCGTCATTAATCCACCCCCGCGTCGTTCCTACATCCCGTCTGCCTCGTTCATGTGGAACTCAGCTTTCAGGGAACTGGCGGCAGCTACCGTCAAGTCTCCTCCGCCCTGCAGCATCTTCAAAGGTAAAATCATGAGCGGCCGCGTTGCAGAAACTTTCGGTGTTTGTTCTTCACCTTCGACCCCCCCTTTTTGCAACCTTCACACCCAAAAGTCCCCTACTATTTTCGCCCTATGTTGCTTACTGGTTTCGTCTCCGAAACGACGTCGTGGTTCCTTCAGCCATGATTTTGCTGCTGTCGGGAGCGAACGGCGAATGCTACAGGCCTTTCTCAAACAACGGAAGAGTGATATTGAGGATTCCCCCCCCCCCTTCCCCCCACTCGGTGTTTGCCATCGGGATTGGGTTTTCGTCGCTTGGCAACGACGTTGTAAAACAAGCCAATTCACTTCGTGAACTCGGCAACCAGGTTACCGTTTTTTTTTTTATCTCGTTTTTTTTTTTGGCGGTAACCATAATGGTGGTCGAGTAGATCATGTTATGCGGGGTGGAGAAACCTCACTCCGCGCAACGGGGGATGATCGCACCACGTTGTGTTAAAATGGTCAAGCTTCCTCGAGGCAGTTACACAGTGCTTACAACTGTCTCTGGAAGTGAAAGCACCAGAAAATAAATTAAGTCATACGTAGCTGTCATCCGTACGCAAGGAAGTAAGCACAAGATGCCGAACACCCTTAGCAGGATGCAGCTCACCCTTCATGCGACTCGCCAAATACCTCACGGCGCTTCGCGCTTGGTGATGTGAGAGCCTGGTCCGGTGAGAACCCGGCGTGCTCCGTCCCGGCTTTGTAGGGATGCGAGGTAAATGGTCAAACGACTACGGCATTCACGACTATGAGTACACCCCCCCCCCCCCCCCCCTTCCCCCAAATACCCCGCCCCCCAATAATGAAATGACCACAGAACGTGCGACACCAATGATTTTTTCGCCGAACTCCCCTTTCAAACCCAACTGTCCTTACGTGACTTGGCGGCGTCGGACCAATCCCGGCTACGTTCGACAGGAAGTAGCGGCCGGTCCTCTTCTTCATCCCATCCTATGCCGGGCAGAACCTCTGCCACTCGTGGGCAGGTGTTGAAACGTGAGATGACGAAGGTGGATAGAGGAGAGGGGGGCGCGAAAGGCTCTGTTGTCTATCTAGTGTTGTCTTGCACGCTGTATGTGATACTCGTATATGTACACCCTGATACTTGATGCAGATAGTGCTAGGCTGAAGAGTACCCTCGGGATGACGCTGACTTGTTATTCGTTTCTGTGGAATTTTTGAGACGTGTAACAACGAGCGGTAGCTCGGCCTCGTTCGTTTCCTCCTCGATACATGCTTGATCGGTCTCTACCGATCTATTGTACTACTGTTTTCCACAAATCCCAGGCGCCAATCGGCCGGGAATATCCGGTGGGCACAACGGTGGGAGCCAGTCGTCGCGGAATCGCACCTGCCTCTTCCCAGGGTGAGAAAGATCGAAACCGAAGACAGAGAATCGCAGTCCTCCAATTCTTTGACAACCAACACCTGCAGGTCTGGTCGTTTTTTGTACCACCGTAGAAGGCAGAGGATATTTTGTGAGCCTTCCGTTGCAAAATCCTATGTCTTCTGCGGTTCCACAAGAGAACGAACATTGAAGGGGAGTCAAGTGTCTTCTGCCTTTCGACAAGAGAACGAACATTGTCGGGCAGTAGAACAAAAACCATGCCGTTGTAAATTCTTTGCGGCTCATCTCTGCCTACATTCGGTCATTTAACTGCATAGAGACAGGGCTGCACCCAGGCCCATCGCCAAACCCACGTCACGCCAAGTATACATTCTTGCCGTATTTCGTTATGTTGATGGGCGGAGACCGTATCAGAAACGACCTGAAATGGAGACCAAAGGCTTCTTGGTAGGGACATGCGGCGTCAGTCGTTGACAAGGAACAACAGCCAATGGTAGCCTTCCTGGCAAGAATTGAGTTCAAGGTTTTACAAATATCTGAGTATTCAACATGTCTGCAATGTTCGCCCGTACCAGATGTGAGGCTCGGCCCGACTACGGCCTGCCGGGTGCAACGCGCGCCGTGTACTGCTTCTCCCATAAGAAGGGTCCAATGGTGCAACTCTTCAAGGAACCACCCAGCCTTCCGAACAAGGCTGGGCAAGCTGAGAGCGCTGCTGCCCCAGTGGTCACACGGTTAGTTTTTGTTCGGGTTTTGGTGTCCAAGAAGCATTTGAGTGTCAGGAGAAAAGACGGTACCTCATTTTGAAACTATCGCGAAACAGTTGCTTACGACTGTCGTACTGTGGAGGGTCCACGTAGAGAGTGGGTTCCCCGAAAGTCGGTCGATGCAGCCGTTTCTTGCTTGCTTCATGTTTCCTTCCAGGCCACAGACTAGCATCGAAGTGCTGTATTGTTTCGCTTGTCGGCATTCCAGAAAACTGTGACCGAGGTCCTTTTTCGAGAACATTGAGACATATGTGCGACACCCTACCGTTGCCTGTTGCGTCACATCACTGCAGGAAAGCCACCACCGGTAAACGCAGCCAAGGTCCCGCTGCAGCAGCCGCAGCTGCTGCTGCATCAGTTGGAGCAAAGAAAACCCGAGCGCCGAGTGACATAGATCGCAATGGGTCAAAGAAAGCGCGACGAGGGCAACAGGAAACGGAGGAAGACAATGACGCCGATGTCTCAGGCACGCACAGAAGCAAAAAGAGGCGTTCGGGCGGAAAGGACGAACGGGGCGCGATTTCCAGCGCCCAGGTGACAAAGGAAAACCTGACGAAAACGACCGCTAAGACTTCTGCACCGTCCCTCCCATCTCCAGCTCCTGCCGCCGAAGCCAACCCCCCGTCTTCTCCCAATAACCGGCTGGCCGACTCGTCGGGGATGGCCCCATCCGTAGAGTTTCTCGTACTTAGGCAGGCGAGGGAGGATGCCAAGACGGAGGCCGAGGCCAGCGGCCTGGGGAGAAGACCCCGCGCGCCGTCACGGCGGGCCCTGGAAGCGGCGGGCCGGCTGAAGGGCACCGGTGCACAATGGATGAGTCGCGAGAAAAAGGCGGAGGATCTGAGAGTCAAGGCGGAGCTGAGGCAGCAACGGAAGCAGTACCAGGCAGCAGGCCTGAAGTCTGGGGTTGTGCTAGAGATGTTCGTACCGGCGGCGACCGGGGCCGAGGCAGCGGGTGATGGGATCGAGGAGAGGGATGGGGAGGTACGAGGAGAGGGGGGAGCAACCACGCCCAGAGGTAGTAACCCCGGATGGCAGAAGGTGTCGCCAGAAGCTCTCTCAGCGCCTTATTCAAAGCAGCATGGTACGGGACAGAGGAAAGAAACTTCCGTAGGAAGAGGGCAGAAGCCTTCAAAGCAAGCCAGGTCCACCGCTGTAGCGGAGAGCGGTTAGCTCCAAGGCCTTCACAACGGTGTACGGTGCGGCATGAGTGTTGGACTCTGCGTCGACCGACCGCGTGGCGGCGTGCTGCTGCTGCCGCCGCCGCCGAATCCACCCGGAATCGAGCCGGTAAGAATGGTGCTAGCCATCCAGGATACGAGAAGCTGGTAGTGCTCTGTGGGAAACACTCGAGACACTATGTTTTTTCAATTGCGGGGATAAGAGGCACGGGGGAAAGACCAAATGCGAAAACCAAGAGTCTTATAGAAATGTACCAACGCCTTGATTGAAACGTGAGAGCCGGAATTGAAGGTGGAAATTGGACGCCAGCGCTACAGAGTCGACAGCGACGGTCGGGCGAAGGGTTGAAAGAGCGGGTCAGTTTACTTGTTGTTCTCCGTGAAAACGATGTGCTCGGTACTCGAGACATGCGCTGAGAAAACAGCACTGTTGCGTGTTACTTTTTGGAGTTGTTCGCACACAGGTGCATGCCCATCAACGAATGTCTTGTATACCCCCTTTCAATTGCGCTACTGGGCGCGCTCTTGCGGGGTGAGCATATGACGGGTTGGTTAGGGCTCGTCAGGACGCAGAGTTTGCATGTGAAGTTTTTTTCTGCCCGGAGGATGTTATTCGTGGTGGCCAAAGTGTCGGGAGGTCGTATGAGCTAGCGGCCGGTGGTAGCGCAATTCTGGTTGTTGAGCGCCAATTTCAATTGTTCTCAGGAGCGTTCATGTGCAAATAAATGTTGACGTACGTACATGAAGTGCTTGTTCAACGCTAGGAGCTCGAATTGGAATCGTAGCGTGTTTCGCAGCGGCCATGCCGCGTCGGTCTCCAGGTTGTAAGAAAGAAGCTGGTATGTAGGTGTATGTGCAACACACTGGACATGTTTTTTTCGATTGGAGGTGAACGCGGTGCCGGCCGAACTCAGTTGCATGTTTGAGAATGTCCAAGAGTGTACGTGGTGATTATCTTCTTGGACGAGAACGTGTTGCAGGCGTTTCGGTAAGGAAAAAGCTGGCCGTATCATTGCCGTATTCGAGTGTTAGTCATACCCACAAGAGGCGAGGCTCGGGGGCGGTACTGCCAACGATGGTACTGCTGATGGGATTCACTCGAGATACCCCACAGGAGTTTTTAGCCCTCTTTGCGGTCTAAACCAGTCAACCGACAGGAGGCGGCGTGGGCCTGCTTCTTGCAGTGTAGGGTCATAATGCAGGTGAGGCGTCATGTGGCATGCAACAGGACTCACTGTTTCGGCATGTACGTGGCAACTGTCAACGGGGAGTTGGCTCACAGAGTGACCGTCACCTACCATTGTTCGGACCAAGCAACACGTGGTTGGAAACACGCGCTCGCCCATGCCGTCAGATGTCCTTTTCGTGCGAGAGTCTGGAGGTTAAGTTAACGATGGAGGCAAGGGCCCGTAGGAAATAGGCTCGGCAAGGAAAAAGTAATTTTGAGATGAGGGAGCGACCGCGCTGCCACTGGGAAATGTGCTCCGGAAATCTTGAGCACACGGACGACACAATGCACAACGCAACCGGGTTTCAACACCGTCGGAAACCTCCTCCTTCAAGTACTACTGTGGTAGGCACACTCCCGTAGCAGTTATCAATGACCCCCGCATTGCTCAAGGTGCCAAGTCTTCCAGCTACAAGTACTGACCGATTGGTTTGGTGCGTCAGATTGGCATGGATTAGACTCCAAACTCCATTCCGGCTACACTCTGTTGATGATCAAGTACTGAAGGACTAATTCGGTGCGTGAGATTGGCACGGGGGATACGCTTCAAAATTCTACGCCGGCTCTCGGGAACGCCCAAACAAATTCGGGGTGGACGCACAATGACAATGGCGCATAACGACACACATCCATGAGTCCTAAAATTTCGAAATTTCGCATGTTCGCAGCATCACACAAATGCACAGCTTTCACACCGGGCCCACGTGCAAATTAGCGAATACGGCAATGATACGGCCTATTTGTTCCCCACAAGACACCTGCAACACCTTCCCATCCATGAAGATAATGACCTAAACTGCCGATATCCTTAGTGGACAATCTCAAACATGCAACGTCATTTCTCAGGCTATCCATCACCACAGTTCACTCTAGTACAGCATCAGCGATCCTCGCAATCCTTCAACATGCACCGTTTACTTTATTCACCAAAAAAGGACCGCAAGTCTCCCACACCATCCTGGAGCTGTAGAATAAGTTGTTCCGGTCCCGCACGGGCCCAGTTCCATCTTCGCACTCTCGACCGATCCGACACCGCGGGGTCCCGGCGAATAGGAAGCTTAGCCGCTGCTTTTCGGCGCCCCTGCCCTGCCCCTGCCTCTCCTGAGCCGGTACAAGTATTCTTCCTCTTCTCTCGCGCCAAAATCAACGTCGTCGTCATCGTCGTCGTCGTCGTCTAGATCACTGTCTTGGTCCTCCTCTCCGTCTTCACCGGTCGTGACGCGACTGTACCGCCCGCCGGCGGCGCTCGTGCGGCCGGGGCAGATGGCGTTGCAGCAGCAGCAGAGCCACCACGGACAGCGTCGGCGCCACTTTGAGCAGCAGGTAAAGAGCGACATGAACACGCAGTCGATCACCTGGCGTGGAAGGTACACGCACGGGACGAAATCAGTACAAGCACGTTGCCCGACACGGTTATCTTGGGGTGTTCCGCCTGTATTCGCATCCAATTCTTGCTTGGGATCGTCAACGCTGCGCAACGAAACAACCAAGCCTTGTCTGGGATAGTTCGTGCTTATTTGTCACGATGTGCGTTGTCGCTTTCGCTTCGGGTCGTGATGCTGTTTGACGACACCAGCGTGCTGCAGGGGCTGTGTGGGTGGCCTAGGTCGGCGAAAAAACGGGCATTCACAACTTAAGCGCTTGGCAGGCTTACGAACATACCAAAGAAGTGCGAGTGGTCCCACACACCACTGGTGTATGCGTGTCACGGCCGGCTCGAAAACCTCATCTCAACAGACCCAAAGTTCGAATTCCCCACAACCAAAGCGTGTGCTAAAACTGACCAACACAAGCAAGTAAAGCTTTCGGCGCCATCTTCCAACAACACATTTTCTGCTGAAAGCCTCTTAGTTTTGAGACAATCAACCTAAATATAAAAGATCCAATCACTCGCACTTACTGCAGCTTCTCCAGCTCTGCCATGAGTCATGAGGGTAGCTTCAATACTACGGAAGGCTTGTGGTAACTCGACTTCCGAATTCAGCGACAGGCTCTACTGTTTTCCTTCGGCATTTTCTGCCCTAATTGCTTCACAGCATGGATTCAACCATCTCTGAAATGTTTCGCTTGTTGGCATGTGGTGCAAATTTTCTGGGGTCTTGTCACTATTACTCTCCCTTCAGCTTGGGCTTGTAGGTAGCCCCACGAAAACTGTTCTCTGGGCTTCAAGAGTACGGAAGACGAGTTGCTTGTGACGCGTCAGACATGTTTGTACAGTAAACACCATGACAACAATGGCAGCCGCAGCAGCGGCATTGGCAATTTCGAATGTGTCTTGGGAAGACTACTGGGCAACCATACGATCCTCAATGCTCATCCGCGCTTTCGGCTACCGCGCAGGCACAAGGTGTTCGGAGAGTTGTGTGCAAGGTTGCAGCACAAGATCCCCACAAATTCAACAAATCTAAGACACGGCTGGCGCTTACGGCTCGCCCTTGATTTCTGCGCACGAGAGCATATATCTCTCCAATGCCACCCAACATTGGTGATGGCACGGAGAAGAATTGGTTTGACATCGCCAACACATGAACATATACAAGGAGGTTGAGGGGGGGGAGCTCAAGTTACGGGTTGTGGACCGATGGCACAATGCGCTTACCCTCTCGGTGATACAGCAGCAGAGCTGAGGCTTGTCAGGCGGACGCGCTTCTTCGGGCTCGACCCTCCACCGCATCTTCTGCACCTGGGGCAGGCAGGGCGGGGCAGAGACACCGGGGGCAGGCCAGTAACGTATAGGATTTAGTATAGCTCTACATAAATCTGTAGAAACCAGAAACATGACGTGACCCGTAGCGCCAAGCACTGCGCATGCCCAATTACACACCGACAGCAGTAAACTTCGGCCTTGCAAGACATAGACTACAGCCGGTCAGGGGAAGCACGTTGGAACTGTCTACAAGACAACTCGAGAGCAGGTGAACAGCTCCGACGTCTGGACTCGCACGACGTTTCACAAACGGGCCACAGGAGCTGAGATTTCAAGTCCGATTCCTTCTTCGCCAAATAGACTCATCGCCCAGGACTCAAAGACGGCGCGTGTGTTCGAAGCCTTCTATCCGTGCTCCTCGCTACTTCTATATCGGTCCTCTTGCCACGAGACACTGCAACAGCAACGCCGAACGAGAAACAAGCCTTACCTCGACCTGTGCTCGTCGCATGGGCTCCTCGCATATCTCTCGTCGATACTTGAGGGGCACCTCTGCCTCATACAGATCGATCACGTACCTGGCGTTGTGCATGTTTCGAGCGTCGTGTGTGTAACAAGAGGAGGTATAAAAGGGTGGGCGGGTGCTGTGCATTGCCTGGGTAACATTGCCGTATCTGCTCCCTATCTGTTCCCAAGACGGACACCACCAAGAGACCATTTTTCGCAGGGTAGTCGCATTTGCCCTTTTCCCGGCATGATGTAGACCTTATTAAATCAGCGTGACTGCCGCATGCGCGTTCATCCGTCAGACAACGATCGCGTCATGACTGCTGTCTACCTCTACGACATCGCGGTGTAACATCAATCCATTGGGCGGGAGTTGTTCCTCCCTGCAACGCTCGTGTACTCTCTACCTGTACAAATGTCTCTATTGCGTCGTTGAACGTGCATGCCTTTCCATGTTCTCCCTCCACCCAAAGGCTACTGTACGCAACGGGGCGCGAACTACCTAGAACGGAGTTTTGATCCTTCGGTGGTGGTTGCGCGATTGCTATGGTTCCGGTACCGCTACTCAGACAGTGGCATGAGGGAAGAGATCCCGAGGGTGACTGGTACCGGTTACTCCATATTGTCCAGCCTTTTTCACAGGAAAATAATTTCCCACGAGCATGGTGTTCATCAGCAGGATCGGATGGTCCAACGTCGTCAAGCACGCGAGAGAACGTGACGAGCAAGCCAACGATTCTCCAACCCTGATAAAACCATCAGGCTCCCTGTCCCCAAAATCATGACCAAGTGCCATTTGTTTCCGTCTTTCACAGCGGGCAGAGCAACACGTCTTGCACACCACCCTGGGGAAACAATAACCACAAAGAACAAGGGCCAGAAAAGAAGCCAAGCACCAGTGGAGACGGAAACGAGGCATGCGTACTACCCCTGGCAACACGTTGAAGCGAGGCAACCACCCATTCGCCGTCAACGCGACAGCGTACCACCCGTTCTGTGCGGAATAGAGTCAAATATCACTACTCTGGGTTGGGTAACGGGTACGAAGAACATTGGCAAGGAGGGGAACCGTAGACCTCGCATTATTGCCACGTCAGGGTGGAGAACGCCCGATGTTTTTTCGAAGCACTCTGAAGTGTTGTACATCAAGTTCGTTTGCGTTCGTAAGGGGGCAGGGTAGTGGCTCAAACAAGCTCACCTGCACAGGTCCTGAGCGCTGTCCTTCCCGTACATCTCAAGATAGAGGAACCAGACGGCGGGGTTGACGCCGCGGTAGTCCACCCTCGACACCAGCCCGTCCACCGGCGTCTTGAGGTCGTCCTTCACCAAGCCTGCCTCGAGTTCGATCGTCGAGGGTGAAAACAAGCGAGGGGATACACAGCGCGGCCATGGGTCACACGTGCGAGAGGTCGGCGGCGTTCGGGAGACCGATGGGGCTAGATATAGCAGCCAGCAACAGCAGCAGCCGTCGCCAACGCATGATTGGACCTCTCTCCCAATCGGTTGTTCCGCCTCAACGTCACCGCTCCCAAATCTTCTTCGTGCCTTTTGCACCTCCACTCCGAACTCTACCGAATAGCCCGACCGCACGTTGGCTGGACACGTCTACGATCCATTCCTTCCCTCAACAGTGATCGGAACCCTCACTTTCGTTCCGAAACATCAAGTTTTGGATACATCGACCAAGGGGTATCAAAGTCTGGATTTTCGGGTAAGATGGTGCGCTACATTAATAAGATCCAAGAAGCCGTGCCATTTCCTCACTGAACGGTTAAGGAACTAGAGGCGGAGTTCAGCGAAGACGGGACCAAGATGTTGGAACAGGTATGCTGGAATTAGCGGGATCGACACCACGCTGTCGACTATAGCCTGCTGTTGTGCCACTTGGTTGCTGTTGCTTTGTTCGGCCGAAGGGTGGTTGGAGTTCTGACATAAAAAAAAACAAAAATAGTGCCCGTTGAGGGCATCCGTAGGCAACACATCAATAGCACAAAAGGGGGAGCTACTGCTGTGGACGCCGAGGTCTTTCTAGTTCGCCCTACGAACGCACACGATGTGCCGGCCTCCGCCTGACTGCTGGTGTTGTTGCTCTGTAATTGCGCAGCCGGGACTACGCTATTCCGTTGTAGGCGCACCTTTGTTGCTGATGCGCCCAGGCGGAGGCCCCTCTCCGCGGACGAACTTCGCCCAGGTCTGCAACCACTTGGTGTCCACGATGAACCAGCACTCGCGACGAGGGTTGATGTTCGCCCTGGGGATGGTTACAACGGAGGTGGGCCGGGGGAACTCTTCAAACCGAACACAAGGGCTTCGGCGTCAAAACGCGAAGACGCGGTTTTCTTTGGATGTGCGTACCATGCCGAGCTATTGTACCCCACCGCTGTATTTGTGGCACATCCAACATGTCAATAACGTCAGCTTCTCGGGTTCAGCGCAAACAAGAAGAAGGGTCCCGTTTCTGCAAGGCAGGGGTGATATGCCTTTCAAGGCCGCAGCACAGCCCGCAAGGTTCTGAACTCGTCGGCGGAATTAGCAACAGCCCGGCTTGCGTTGCCAGCATTGAACCCCTGGCGTGAACTTGAATCACCAGTCTCACGCAGCCACTCAAAAAGGATGTTCGTAGATACGTGAGAGCGTTGCGTAGATCGCCTGATTGCGAGCAATCCAGCTTTCAGCAACGATTTTCAAGCCTAGATTACCGAAGCGGATTCTTGGGGCCCGCTTCCGAAGTCGCTTCCGGCCACTCACAAGGTTGCTACTTAATACTGCTGTAGAGTCACATTCGCTAAGGAGCAAGGTGACTGGATCACCCTCGGTCATGGGGCGTGATGTGCGTCGCGAGAGCTCGGCAGAAAACGGTCATGGTCGGTAGACAGACGTTATCCCGGTTGCCGAACCTTCGCTGAGATAGGGCCGCACGGCAACAGCTGAGGCGACTGCTTGTAGCGCAGCAGTATGATACAATGTTATCGAACAAGGTCTTGATCCAAACGCCGTAGACAGAAAAGCTAAAAGTACGCAATACAAGCGTCATCATGTTCTTTGTTGACACGCGGTTGGAATAGTAATTACGTTCGTTTGTACTGCAACCACCCACGCGGGAAAACAAAAAATGTTGTAGCCAATCTATCTCAGGGCGTATATTAACGAAGTGCCGAAAATCAAAATCGACAAAATCAAAATCAAAATCGAGACCTGATTGGCCGAATATCTGCTACCTCCTGACGACGCCCTTTGATTTTATGGAAGTTCCTCTATCTGGGAAGTCCCCGGGGGACTTTTTTTATTAAAATCAATATCAAAGAGGCAAGGAGTTCAAAACTTCGAAGGCTTGGAGCACCTGCCGCGAGGCCGCTGCAAAGCAAGCGTACGACACGACCTGCTGCACACTGCTCATAGAGGGGCTATCGGCACCCTACCACCGAGACCATGGCCATTATTTTGTAGCCAGAAGACTCTGCTCGCCGGCAAGCAACAAAACGGGCCGGCTCGTTGGGTATTCGAGGAGAAAATGCCGATCGTGACAAACGGTGAACGGACTGACGATCAGAACAGGGCTGCGCGGCTTATTCGGGCCGTGCGGGAGAGGGTAGTTGTAACCTTTTTACTCCACACTCACGATACCCCAAGGCATCTAACCTTGTACGAGACAGATGGTGGGTAAAGCTGCCTCCCGTCGCGTGGCATTGCTAATGCTGTTGCTTCCTCCTTGGAAGAGTTATCGCTGAAAAACTAAACTGTGAGCAGACATTCGGCGCGAACTTGAACTAGCCGCTCTCTGACGTGGATTTTTTAGGGTCAACCAAAACTTTTTTTCCCTACGCGCACGATACCCCACGGTAGCAGACCTTGGGCTTGAAAGATGGAGCAGAGACGTACCTCCTGCCGCGTGGCGTTGCTGTTGCTGTTGCTTCCTTCTTCGGAAAGTTATCGGTGGATATCACAACCCGTGGCGGCCCAAAACACCGAACTTGAAGTGACCGCTCGCAACCGTTGACATTTTTGCTTCAACACAACCTTTTTTTTCCGGCGCACTCGGCACCTCACGGCCCCAAACCTTGGCATTGCCCAACAGCCCATGTTTCCAGCTCCTTCCGGATAACCTTCTTGAGGCAACTCGTTCAGTATTTGGCGAGATATCGGCTAACACGTGAACAGAAGAGCGTAAAACGCACCCTAGAAAAATCACCGCTGCGCTGCTGGCGCTTCCCCTGGCGCCAGGTCTTTTTTGATTTTTTGCCTCATCTGTCTCCTATCCTCGTTAACATACACGATCCTATTTTTTCAGTTTTCCACGATAACGCATTTTGATTTTGATTTTGTGCCCATTTGGATTTTGATTTTCGGCTCTTCGTTAACATACGCCCTCAGACTCTCGTCTGTGGAAGACATTAATTTTTTGTTAGTGTTTCGTGGTACAGACTATGTACATGAGAATAGAGTAAGAAAGCTTCGGCTACTTGCTTTAAAATCAGGGGAAGTTACAACGTCTGGACTGCTGCGGTCATCTCGTTGAATCAGCACTACAAGATCACGCTGCACATGTTTAGCACCTACAATAGCCTCTGAGTCCGAACACCGGCGAGTCTTGTAGTCTCGCATTTCTTACCATGAATTACAGGCAGTACTGCATGGAACAGCGGTGTTGTCTATAATAGTGCGGGTGAAAACTTCTCGCGTAAGGGATGTAAGCAGTGAGCAGTTGCCGCAGAGGAATTCAAAAGTGCGAACCCGTATCGGTGATCTTCGGGTAGGAAAGGCGAGGGCTACAGGGTCAACGAACAGGGAAAAACTACAGAGAGGACGACAGGGTGCACAGGCCACATGAGGCCCATTGATCGTGCATTCCGTAGCGATGTGAATGCGTGTCGTGTGATGCAGCGGGGAGGGACACGCGCCGCAGCACCACCTCGTTTGAAATCCCCCCCGCTGCGCATTGCATATGCACAGCTCCACCGCGCTATGGTGGGTACAACGGATATCACTACAAGAAAATAACATATGAGTGCCGTCGTCGTTCGTGTGCACTAACTAGCCTTCGCGGTCTGACTCTCTCTGCTGTTACTCCCGTGGATATCCTAATCCTCCGCACCCCCCGGTACACGAGTCACCGGTGGCATATATTCTTGAATATCTGTCACGCAATTTGCTTGACGGTGAAACCTACCCAAAGGAAGAGCACACACACACGCAGACAGAGCAAACCCACCCCCGTACAAGCAGGGAGTACTGGGCACGAGTGGAAGATGTAAGAAGGCCACAGGCTCAGCAGCATTGCCTCTGTCAACCTTGTCTACGGGAGAGAGAGAGCGGGCAATTTCCGGCGCGAGAACTACATAACTCACGAATCAAATTCTCCAATGAGCCTGAGCTCCTCCGTCCTGCGCCTGTCGAGCGTGTCGAGGTCGTCTCCGTAAGAGGCTCTCCCCGCCCCAAGCTCGTCCTCTCCATCACCGTTGGTTCCGCCGCCGCTTCCCCCGCCCGCCGCCGCTTGTTCTTGTAAATTTCGGCTGTTGTTATTTCTTGCTGCTGTTGCGCTCCGGCCTCCTCCTGCTTCTGCTCGAGCTGCTCTTCCTCCGTTGGCTGCGCCTACTTCTGCTGTCTCCTCCATCATCATCATCGTGGTTTTTGCCAAGGAGGCCGTTCGCTCTGTCGGTACATCTGCTATCTATCTGCTGGCGTATTTCCCGTGCCAGCCAGCCTAGTAGTCCAGCGGAGACAGAATGATCCACGACCCCCCCTTCTCCTTATCCCCACCCTAATTTCCCCCTTCCGTTGCTTTTCCCGTTTCGTCGCCCCCCTTTCCACCGCCGTCCGAAGTCCGACGCATTGGTGCATGTGTGTTATTCTCGAGAGATGGAGAATATCGCCTGACAGATCGCCCGCGCAACGCGGAAACAGGTGGTGGCGCCGACCCGTGTGGTCGCTGGCCACGGCAAGGAGGCGTCACGGTGTGCTGTGTAAGCAGCAGGGGACGATGTCGGGCCAACCCCGCCCGCCTAGACATCAACAAGGTGTGATGCCCCACCCGCCAAGGCGATGGAGGCGGATGCCCGAGCATCAGGATTCGACGATTGCACCGACAGCGGCTGCCGAAGAGGAGGCGAGAGAACCGGGGGCCCTGGCCCCGAGACAACTTCCAGGGAACGAGGAGAGCAAAAACGCCGGCGAAGCCGCCGGCGGTGCTGCTGCTGTCTTTGCGGCATCGTCATCATCATCGCACCGCCCAGAGGAGGACCATCATCATCATCATCACGAGGCTATTGCGGGGGAAGAGGCGCGGGATTTCGGCTACGGCAACTCTTTCGGCGCGTGTATCCGTCTGCCTTCGTCGCCGGGGGGCGGTGTCAGCGAGGTGATGGCGACCGGGAGATTTCTGGCCGGGCAGCCGCGCCAGAGCGTCGGCGCTGAAGAGAGCAGGCCCGGGGGCGGAGGAAGCAATAGCTCTGCTGCTGCTGCTGCTGCGGGCACACACGGCTCTCCGTTCGAAGGGCGACAACAACGACAACAACACCACGACGACGATATGAAGATTTCGGACTCCAGCGCACGAATAGCAGCAGCAGCAGAAGAGGGCGCGGCGGTGGCAGCGGCGCCGGCAGGGCCCCGCGCCGCGCCTCGAGAGCAGGTGTCCCTCCCGGACGATATCTACGGCGCGGCTAGGGTGTCCGAGTATTGGCACGGCGTTCCCGCCCTCAGCAGCCTCGCCTCGACGTACGTCTACGACGACATCTGGGCCGGCGACGGGGGCTTGAAGTCCAGGTGAGAGGCTGCCCGCAGCTCTGGCTGTGCCCGCCGCGTAAGGCGACGGCGCCCACGCGCGTGATCGCGTGTAAACGTGCGTGCGAGAAGGGGCGGCGGTTCGCTCGCCGCCGGCCGCGCTGGCTGCCGGCGCAAAATAAGTAAGTGGTATTTTTTTCTCCCGCTTCTGGTCTCGCCCTACATGTACGGGGCAAAGAATCGAAAAAATGGCCGCCGCACGTATATTATTCATTAATGTAGTCACTTTTTCCGCGCTGGAAGAAGGTAAAAGGATGGCTTTGTTGCCGCGATGCATGCTATCCACCGGGAGGTTTGAGAAAACCGGGTGATTTGGGCTCCACACGCTCATGCCGGTGTTCCTGATGTCGGCAGACCCATTGAAGCAGTCAAGTTACACCGGTGCAGCGGCAGCGGCAGGGGCAGCGTGTCATGTCCGAATAATTCCGCCGCTTGGACCATGTGACCCAAGAGATCTATGGAACACCCCGCAAGCACATCAACCAAATACCACATCCCGTTGGACTGTGGGTATGTCTCGAATGGGTAGTCTTTCTGTGTGTGTATTTATTATTCCTTAATACCATATTGTTGTATGCACTCCTCTCTGGCGGCCCATTAAGATTAATATTGTCCCAATGGGGCCGCCTTCTACTTTCTTGCGGGGCTGTGGGGACGTTGTTGGTTCCCTGGTTGGTGCCCTATGGAAATCAGGCGCACCTGTAAATTTTCTTCGCACACCTTACATGACAGCCTTCTTCGTGCCACGTATCTGTGTCTTGATCGTGAGTATCTCTCTTTATTGTGCAGCACCTTACCTACGCATGCTTCGTGGAGTGTACGAAGCAAGGAGTACGTGGGGCGACATCAGGGGGCGAAAATCCAATTTTGTATGCAAGATGTACATGATCTATGTAGAAGCGAGGAGTGTTCATATATTTTATGGTATGACATACAGCAAGCAGCACCATGGAATGTTGGTTCATCACCAGCGCAATTACCGTATATGACACAAGATAACACACCTACATAAGAAAGATAAGAAAGCACACCCCCCACAGAATACGACACCCCGGTGATATTTTTAGTTACGCCGCATATAGTCACGGGGCCCCTCCTTCTTTATCACCGGGGTGACAGCATCTGCCCTGGGCAATCACACACACAGCCACGTCAGCTGTGTGAGGGGAAACACCCCGCATGGAGACCCCCAACAACATGAACGTGCAGGCAGAGCAGAATGCAGCCGCAAGTACCAAGTAAACGTTTTTGTGAGGGGGGCAGGAAGGATGGCGCACGCAGTCTGTGGCCACCGCCAATCATCGTATCGGTCGAGGTACCTTCGATTTTCAATTTTTTCTTGCTCGATTCAAGCCCGTATTTTGTTTCAAACTTTTTTTGGCGATGAGAGGGTTGAGTTATCGCCGAGGTCATGTGCTCAGGAGTTTCGTCACCTCGGTTGAACCCCTTTGTTTTTCCACGCCCCTTTAGGTAGGTCCCTACACTGCACGTGTACGTGCAGGCATGGCTATCACACACCCTTTTATCGCACCCCCTCATTTATCACACCCCAAAGCACACGCTGTGGCTGTTCGGACGTGCTATCACACACCCTTTTATCACACACCCTCATTTATCACACCCCCAAACACACGCTGTGGCTGTTCGGACGCGCTATCACACCCCCTGTTTTATCACACCCCTTAGGGGCCCCTGCGACCTGCACTTTATCACCCGGGGTACACAAGATAACACCCCCCCCACAGGATACCACACCCGGTGATAATATTTTCAAACTCCAAAATGTTATCACCGGGGTGTGTTTTCTTGTGTCATATACGGTATATCGCAATGAATCACAAGATACCCCGCCAATGGCCGGATTAATGCGGTAGGATTTTGGCAGATGCGCATCACCGCAACGAAGTTTACGCGGCTGTGTGTGGGGTTATTAATTTATCCGCGGGTATCGAGTTAACGGGAGTCTCCGAGGAAAGCGACGTGATGTAAAGCTGCGAAAGTTAAGAAATCCTGTGTTGGCACCCGTTTGGCCCCTCGAAAAGAGTAGATTGCTCTTTTGCGTCTTCCCCCTGGATACATCAGCACCCTTTATATATGTATATATATCGCGGGAACAACCTGAAGGGCGAGTCTCATGTTTCGCGCATCACCAGTGAATCTTTCATTCCTTGTGTCTTTGTGACGGTCCCCTCCTTCCGGCGCATGGTATTTCATGGCGCGAGGGTGAGGTGACCCATGCAAGCAACAATCGCGAATCATTTCCCTATGGTGGTTTTGGGTTCGTTGTAGAATCGGATTTATAGCCGGGGGAAGGGGGGAGCGCGTGCGTTGGGGGAGAATCTTAAGACTGCCCATGACACACCACGTCCTGCCGCTCCCCAACTCGCAGGGAAAACCTCCTGAGCATGATCGGGTGGACAGCGGAGGGAGGGATCGGGACGCCCAACGAGAGGGGGGGCGACGCAATTGTCCAGGCACTGCGCGCGGTGGCTTACACGGAACCTCCAGATGAGTGGTCCGGCGGCAACGAACAGAAGGGAAGGGAAGGAACGGAGGGGGGCCAAGGGCCCCACCGACGGGAAGATGACGCCAGCGGGAGAAATAGCGGCGGCGGCGGGGGCGGGGGCTCGAGGGTCGGCGGAAAGCAGCAGTGGGTGCGACGGGTTGACGAGAAGTCGGCGGGGGGGAAGTGTAGGGGCGATGATGCTCATGCCTGCAGCGACGATGGTGTCTGCGGCACGGGTCATGACGGGCTCAAGTGGCGGAGAAAGGGCGGCCGCAGCGGGGGTGGCGGCGGCAGCGGCGGGGGCGGCGGCGGGGGCGGCGGCGGGGGCGGCGGCGGCGGCGGCGGCTGGGGTGAGGGTAGCTGCGAAGGCACCGTGAGCGGTGGTGAACGGAGCGACGGGTGCTCGGCGGGCGAGGAGGTGCATGCCTCGAAGAAACACCGCACCCCTAGCCCCGAATCGGCCCGGAAGTCGTCGCTGGCTGCTGAGGATGCTGCCGACTCGGCGATGGGGTCCAGCAACGCCGGCGCTGCTGCCGCGCGGCCGGGCGCGGCGGACCAACCAACGACAGCGGAGGAGAAGGCGGCCGCAGAAGACCGAGCGCTCCGCGAGGCCGAGGTCATCCAATGGTGTCAGAGAGGTTCGAGCCCGCGAGCCATATCCGGCGATGGCGGTGCCGCGGCGGGTCCAGACGAGAAGTTCTTCGCCGCGAGGGTGCTCGACCCGGTCCCGGCGCGGCACTGGCCCGGCACCGCTAGGACTAGAACCGGCGGCAGCAAGGTCAGCGACGCGGTATTTGGTTGGGGGGCGGCGGAAACAGCGGCGTCGTCGTCGCCCCCACCGCTGCGGCCGCCATGTCTGCGCTTCGGCGTGGGCGAGCTCAGCGGTGATGGGCGCCGGGAAGACAATCACAGTGGCAGCGGCAGCAGCGGCGGCACGGACGCCGCAAGCGGCTTGGACCAGTTCCCGTCCAGCCGAGACGAGGCGGCGATGGTGGGGGTAACAAGGGCGGCCTCGCCACCGGCCGCGAAGTGTAATAGTAGGAGCCCCCTGGCGTCAGGGTTCGCGGGTGCGGCTCTCGCTTCGGCTGCCACCGCCGGTTCCGCCGGAGGAGCGACCACCGCAGCGGCGACGGCGGCGGCGGCGGCGGCCACGGCAACGGGGTCGGGACGGTCGCCCCCCTCGGCGCGAGAGCAGGAAGGGTTCTTCGCCAGCCACACGCTGGAGCCGAGCCCAGGGAGGAGCTGGATCGTTGCCGCCGGGGAAGCGGGGTCCGCAGGAGGAGAAACACACCGGGCGGGGGCTAGCGGCACCACCGTCCCCAAACCCGCGCACGGGATACCGATGCCACCAGATTCGCAACGAAGCGATGACGACGCCTCCGGCGCGGCGGGGAGTGGGAGCGAGAGGCGGGAGGGCCACAATCCGCTCTGTTGGAGCGATACAGCGGGCCGCTACCCCCCTCTTTTTGAGGAAGTAGCGGCGGGGGCGGCGGTCGTAGATACTGAGTCCAGCGGCAGGTAAATAGAACATGGCAGGTTTTTTGTTCGGTTCTGTTGTAACTTAAGCTGTTTTTGTTTTTTTCGGTTCTGTTTCTATGCGCCTTTCCTTCTCTTCTTTTGCTCTCCTGCTGTTTTCGACGGAGTTGCTCCCGTTTACAATGTGCTGGTGGTGTTCGATCCGACGCATGTTATCTTTTTGTGAATCAGTCCACTTCGGAAGACAGGAAGGTGGCTTCCGCGTATTATGGAATCTGCTCCCGCCGCCGTGCTTGGTAGTTATGATTTTTCCGCAGGACATGTGTGATGCTTTTTTATGTACCGTCCTTTTTTGACCAAAATTTTGCTTCAAAACTTAAATCAACTCTCATCTACATTTCCAGCCTCAAGTGAACCTCGCCAGATATTCAAGAATTCAGTCTCACCGCTGTCCACCCCCCCCCCCCCAACCCGGGGGAGGCGCGGGCACATTTTTTTTTTTTTTTTTTTT